ACCCTGCAGGGAGCCCAGGGACGCTCCCGGCCGGTCCCCCGCAGGTACACGGCGCTGAGCGGCCACGCCCCGTTCGAGGCTCGCCACCGTTCGGAGCTCTACCGGCGCATCCGGAGCGGCCGGTACCCGCTGCCCCCCGGGCTGTCGCCCCCTGCCCGCGCCCTCATCGCCCACATGCTGCACCCCGAGCCCGCGGCACGGCCCGGCCCGGCGGGGCTGCTGTGCCACCCCTTCCTCACCCAGGTGCGGGGCTGGGCGACGCGGGGGACACGCAGGGACGCTGAGGGACACGGGGGGGTCACGGCCTGTCGCTCCCCAGGGTTTCACACCCCACACGCTGCCACCCCGCGCCTGCCACTCCGTGCCCGTCTTCGTGGGACAGGAGCGGCTGTGCTGGATGCTGCGGGGGTGTGGCTGTGTCACTGTCACCCCTGCGGGTGGCAGTGCCCCTCCCCAAAGGACCCGAGCCCGAAGATCCGCGGAGGAAAACCTTTATTAGTGTCGGGAACCGTCTAAAATCCAGTCATGGAAACAAGCGGGGTGGGACGTGACCAGTACGAACGGCACACACACACACACACACACACCAGTTTGCCCTTAAAACTGTTAACAGGAAAAAACAACCCCCAAATCCAAACCCCAAAATAAAAAGGAGCTCTCTTCCCTGCCAGCCTGGGATGGGGATGGGGAGGTGCAGCTCCATGTCCCGGGACTGCAGAGGTGCCAGGTCACCCCCAGTGGGCAGTGGGGACACTGGAGAGGGGACAGAGGGAGCTGTGGGCTGGGAAGGAGGGAGGAAAGTGCGTGGTTTCCCTGTTCAGCTTCACTTCTCTCTCTCTCGGGAGAGAAGAGTCGGAGAAAACGCTGAAAGCTCGGTAAAACAGGACACTAAAAACACCCAGGGGCAGCGCGGGCCGGCACCGCCCGGCCATGCCTAAAACACGGACAGGAGGGGACAAGGACAAGATGCTCGAGGTGGCCCCAGCAAAGCACCAAGGAGCCGCTTCTAGACCCCCCCAGAAGGGACGGGCCGGGGGTTGTCACCGGCCTTCCCGTGTCACCAGCGGGGCCTGGGGGAGGGAGGTGACAGCAGCGACTTTGTCTGCACTGGGGGGAGCTTTGTCCCAGCGCCAGAGCCGCGCTGGTGACAAAGGACAGGGAACAGGGGACAGCCTGCAGTGGTGGGATGGTGGCGGTGAGCTGCGGCACTCGGGCTGTCACTGGTGTCCCCAAACCACGGCAGAGTGGTAGGGATGGATCCCACAGCCCTCAAATGGCCTCACACAATGCACACCCGAGGCTGGAAGGGGTGGGACACAAACCCCAGCTCCCCCCGAAGCTCCTCAGCCCCCCTTGGAGCTCCTCAGCCCCCAAGGAACCCACCCCAGACTTTTCCCAAGCCAGGAGCAATCTCAGCTTTTGCCCTCGGGGTCAGGAACCTTGTGCCACAACACCCTGTGCCACGCAGGGTCCCGGGGCACACTGGGGACAGCCCGGGGCAGGTGGCACAGTCCGGGCTGGCTGCTGTCCCTCCCCGTGGCGCCGCAGCCCGGCCGGCAGCTCAAGGCCTGGCACGGAGCCCAGGGGATATTTTTATCCCGGCATTTGTGTTGTTTGAAGCTGTCAGCTCGGTGTTTTCAGTCATAAACACAACCCTGCCCTGTCCCAGCTCGGCTCAGAGCTGACAGCAACAGCAACACCCTCAGCTGCCACAGCCTGAGCCCCTGGCTGGCCTGGGGTGGCCCCAGGATGGCCCTGAGATGGCCCTGGGACATCTGGCAGCACACAGAGGCCACATCCCCAAACCCCCTGTTCTGGAACACCTGCACTGGCCACCTCTGTCCCCCTGCCAGGCAGGAAGGTCCCCAAGGGGCACAGGGCAGGATGTTCCAGTGAATTCCCTGTGGGTTTTGAGCTCTGGGATCTCCCCATCTTTACTGCAGAGCCAAGAGCTGCCCAAAGATGGGGAGAGCGGGACTGTCCCTGCTCTGGTGACAGATGTGTCTGACCTGGGGCACAAACCAAGCCAAGGTGGCAACAACAACAACAACGAGGCTTCTTAAAAGAGAAGGGATTTAAAAACAAAGATTCAAGTTTGGGAACTCCTCTCCCCCTCCTCCCCGGCTCCAAATGAGGCCAAAACTCACCCTTGTGCAGAAATCAGGTTCAAAGTTCAGCCAATTGGTGGGGGTGACCCACAGCTCCGGGGTGACAAGGACAGGTCACCTCAGTGTCACCACAGAGCCCCGGCTCAGGGCTGAGCCTGGCTCCCAAAGCCCAGGAGAGGCTCAGAGTGAGACCCTGGAGGGGCAGCTCCAGGCAGGGGTGGCCCGGGGGGCGTTTGGTGACAGGAACCAGGCGAGGGCAGGTGCGTGGGCAGGAGCTTCCCCCCCTGCCAGGGCCGAGCAGCACCTCAGGCTGAAGGCACCGAGTTGCTCTCCACCTTCAGTCCCTTGCTGGCCAGGAAAGCATCCTGCTTGGGCTCCCTGCCCAGGAACCTCCTCAGCATGTCTGCCGCGTCCACGGAGCCGCCGGGATGCAGGATGCACTTCCTGTAATCCATGCCCACCTGCGGGCACACACGGGGGCAGGGCTGGGACACCCGTCCTGGCTGCCACATCCCTGTCACCCACTCAGAACCCTGTGCCTACCTTGCAGTTCATGATTCCCTCCTGCTTGAAGCGGGTGTGGAACATGTCCATGGAGTACACCTCACTCCAGAGGTAGCCGTAGTACTGGGCGTCGTAGCCCCCGGCCAGGTGGCCGAAGGTGGCCGGCATGTTCGTCCCTGAGGGGACACAAGGGGTCAAAAGAGGGTCTCCCCACGGATAAGCCCCCTCCAGTGCTGTCCCAGCAGGCGCTGGCTCAGCTGTTCACAACCCAGGGGACAAAGAGAGGAACTTTCCAGGCTTCTCCCGGAGCCAGCAGAAACTGTCCCCATCCGGGAGGAACTTGCTGAGCCACGTGTGCAGGGCAGGCTGAGAGGGACAGGAGGGTGGCACTGCGTACCTGGGGTGGCAGGGACACCCAGCACCTCTTCACAGAGCTGGGCAAACACCTCCACGGGGTCAGCCTTGGTCTGGGTGTGCAGCGCCTGGTCCACCTTGGCCAGGACGATCTGGCGCAGGTTGAAGAGCCCTGTTCCCAAAAGGAGGAGGAGGGAAACTGAGGCTGGAATGCTGCCTACAGGAATGCCACTGAAGTGGGTGGCACCTCTTTGTCCCTTTCACGTGCCACATCACTTTCTCTCTTCCCACATCTGTGGGTTCCTTCCCCCCACCCCCTCAGAACGCCCAGCACCACAGCGAGCAAGGAAAAGCCTTTTTTGTCCCCAGCCAGGTCACTGAGTGTCCCCTTCCCGTCCCCACGCCCAGGGGACATCCATTCCCTCCCACCTGTGTTCGCCTGCCGGGATTTAATGAGTTTCTCCAGCAGCTCATCCGGGATGGGGCTCCCTGTCTTGTAGTGCCTGGACATGCGCAGCAGCGGCTCCTTCTCCCACACCCAGTTCTCCAACATCTGGGACGGGGCCTCCACGAAGTCCCGCTCCACGTGTGTCCCGCTGAACATGGCAAACTCCGCCTGGGGGACACGGCCAGCTCGGAATTCCACAGGAAAACGGGATGGGGGCAACGGCCTGCCCTGTGGCAGCGCAGGGAGGCCTCACCTGAGAGCACAGCTGGTGCATGACGTGCCCAAATTCATGGAAGTAGGTCTCCACCTCGTCGTGCTGCAGCAGGGAAGGGGCGTCCGGCGTGGGCTTGGTGAAATTGGCCACCATGGCGGCCACCGAGATTTGGCGGCTGGAGTCCGGCAAGAGGCAGCCGGGCTGGAGGCCGAAGCAGGCGGCGTGTCCGTACTTCCCCTCCCTGGGGAGGGACAGGAGGCTCAGGGATCCTCCCAAAAGCCAGACACAGCCACGGCCTCCCCCACTGTGATCCTCAGAGGAGCCCCCAGTGACCCCCCTGGTGACCCCTCAATGACATCCCTGCCCCAGCACATGGCGCTTCCTCCACTCCACACAGCTGG